CGACGTACCCTGAGAAATCATCTCGATGTTGATGTTGTTCTGGCCCAGCACGCTGAAGAATCTGCCAGAGATACCAATCATGTTCTTCAGCTGCTTACCGACCAAGCTCACGATAGCCATGTCAGGCACGATGTCGATAGTGCCGAGCTGACCAAGGTCATTGACGGCACCTTGAAGATCCTTGCTCTGGATCTTGTATTCATCTTCACCCCCACCACTAAGAAGGGCGGATTCAGAGTGCAGAGCCATGGACACGTGGACCTCGGAAGAAGAGATGAGGTCGACAGAAAGGTGCCATCGGTCGAGGATGCTGAAGATGTTCATCAAGAAACCATGGGCTCGGGTGCGCTTGTTGCTGTGCACGTTGAGCACGACGATGTTGTGCTTGATGGTGACAGCAGTTGGGCGCTTGGGGCCTTCCAGCTGGGTGAGGAGACTCGCGGAACGAGTACGGAACAGCTTCCCGTCTTTCAGGGGCGCACGACCGTCGATGTCCTTCAGGTTGTCCGGGAAGATGATGGTACCGGCGTTGCGCGGGTTCATCACATTCTTGATTCGGATGGGGATGCGGGCGCGGATGACCTGCTCCATGGTGAAGGGGTGGATGACCTCAGACCCGTAAAAGGTGAGCTCAGCAGCCTCCGAGGGCGTGACGGTGGGGAGAAGGGCGGCCGTAGGGACCTTGCGGGGGTCTGCCGTGAAGATGCCGTCCACCTCCTTCCAGACCTGGAGTTCCTTGGCCTGAGTGCCGACAGCAACCAATGCAGCGCAGAGGTCGGTGTATCCACGTCCAATGGAGTTGAGCAGTCCGCCGGGCACGTTGCCAAAGTATCCGGTGATAACGGGCACCTTGTCGCCGCACGCTGCCACCTCTTTGCCCAGGTCCTCGGCCAAGTCCTTGTAGAACTTGTCGTTGAGCCCGCCCTTGATAGGCGCATGGAGCCTGACAATGTCGCTGAGGTCGACAAACTGGGCCGGGGTGCCGCGATCGTTCAGAATGGCGGCCATGTAGCGGCAGCTCAGCTTCTCGCCCTTGCTGATGATCTTGTCCTCGGCGCGGTTCGTGACTTCCTCCAGGTGCTGCGCGGATTCCAAGATCTTGACGAGGCTCTCACACTCGGCATTGACCTCCTCCGTGTACGACGCCAGGATGTCCGGGTTCCTCAGGATGTCCTTGCCGGCCTGGATGTGGTCGGTGCGGATGGCCTCGACGATCTCGTCATAACCGCGGTGGTTGGGCTTTTCGGCAGCGCGGGCGGCACGAAGGAGGCGGTTGGTGGTTCCCTCGAGCTTGGTGTTGCTGCTGCGTGCGGAGCAGACAATGGCGGCGCGGTTCGTCACAAGACCAGCTCTGTTTACTGTCAGCGCCTTCCATCTGGTGGGGGTTGGGATGGGTCGCACTTGACGATGCCCGCTATGTTCTCCGCAAACTTGCCCACGCTCGTGCCCCCGAACTTGAGGACAACCCAGCCTCCAGGGAGGTGCTTCTCTTCCGTGTGAGCTATCCGCTCGGACTGGTGTGTGATTCCGTTTGTGTATGCAGACATGGTGGTGTTTTGTGGTTTCTCCAAGCAATTGGTGATATGTGACTTCCTAAATGTTGGTATATATCGATGATGTGTGTCAGACGTGTTCTTTTCAGTAAATGACGTGTGTTGTGTCGTGTGAAGTCTGGAGTAGCTGAGTGAGGGAATTCTCAATGTCTTTTAGTGGGGCCTGAGTCAGAAAGTCCATGTTCGCGCCCGCAATCGGCGCCGGCGCTGCTGACGCCATGCCAGCGAACCACGACTCCACAACCCAGGAACATGCACACACACACCTCAACGGAACGGATCGGTGCATGCGCATGTCCTCCCGGTAGCCAATGATGCGCTCACCATCCAGCTACTGCGCCTTTGTCCGCACCCTTCGCAGCCCACGTCTCAACACCACGTCCTCTGGCGCCTCTGATACCTGACAGCTCATGCCTCTTATCGCGTCTTAGCGCGTCGTCCAAATTACCGTGTCGTCCGCGTCCGACTACGTGCCGATAGTTGCTCTTCGGCCCATCGGCTATTCGTCCTCTCTGTCTTGTGTACCACATGTGCGACACACAAGCAAAAATGGTATTATCTAGCTATCTCTAGTCGGCGGAGAATTGATCCGAAGACGTCCACGTCCATACATCGGGAACATGCGTATAGGAATCGGTCGCTCATCAACGACTTTGCGTGAACCAATTTGGACCCACCGTTCAGGCATTGCGCCAACATCTCCGCAAGCTCAATAGAGTGGTCGCCATTCGATGAAGTATGCCATCAGCGAAGCAGTCCATACAACGTTACAATATTCCTGGTGTTCAAATCAAATTTTCTCGATATTCCTAAGGTTTTGAAACGAGCCTGACCCGACCTTAGGGCATGATCTGAGAAGGACCAAATGCCGTCTTGCCTGCTTCGCTGACCCTGTTATACTCTAGCAGATCTCGAAAGGTTGCCTCATCCTCAATCTCAAGCGCCCGACTTTGCAGGCTTTGCAATTCCCCTTGGCGGTAGCTACCGCGCGCCAATAATCTACCAACAATACTTCGATACCCTTTACCAACTGCTTCAGCTAGAGCGTTTCCTATCTCCGCGTTGTACTCTAGAAGAAGAGAGACAACAGCAAGCTGTCCATACCGTACTGCTGTCTCCAACGCCGGTTGACATGTATCCGCACCATGTCCTAGCAACACCCGAACTACCTCCTCATGTCCGTTCCGACAAGCGCCTAGAAGGGGTCGCTCCTCGTACTCACTAGACGAACCGAAGCCGTCTACACGGGCACCAAGTGCAAGATAATGCACCGTCATATCCACCCACCCTTTCCTCGCGCTACGCACTAGGAATGCCGTGTATTCCTCAACACCGAACGTTCTGGTAACGCAGTGTTCGATTCGTTTTGTGACAAGGAAGTCATAAATCTCCAAACTTGGTGTGTCCAGCGCAGCCAACGCTCGTTCGTTCTGACACCAGTAGGAAGGCCTCTTAATCTTTCTGTTAAGCATCCACGGACGTTCCACAGCCTGGAAATTCCACAAGAACTGCGCCGTTTCTACGCGTCCATACTCCGCGGCCCAGGTAAGCAAGCGCATTCGCATATACTGAAAGTCATAGTCATACCTCAAGTTCAGCATAGCGGCAAGAACCTCATGATTGCTGAAACTACCAGCGTGGATGCATGCCGATCCAAAGAGCAAACTTGGTCTATTGAAATGCTTTCCGTGGAGGATCCATCTCGCGCAAACTGGGAGTGTCTGTGTGTACAGGGCAGCAATATAGACATCGGTGTCCAGATCGTTGCCATATAAACGCCCGTCATGCCAGTGCTCAGGTAGGTGGGTTTCACGCCAATGCTCAGCTAGGTCGGTTGTCCACAGTTCGTCTAGGCGATTGAATTCCTGCAGCACAAGGGGGCATAGCTGACGAACATAGTCGTGCTCGTTTCGCTCATCGTCGGTCTCTTGACTGAGACGATTAGCGACGCTGCGAATCCAGAGTAGAACAGGAGCTCCGTCACGTCGTTCGTTCAATACCCGGCGCTCAAGATATGCTATCAACATGGTAGGTGCAGCCTCTTTGCTAAGATGTAGCAGAGGCCGGAACTCGGCATCCAGAAGCTTGTATAGGGCAAGTACCCTCATAACTTCCCCATCGAAAACCTCTATAGCCGCTCGTTAGCAGCGGTACCTGCGCACAAGATGCAGAGCGAAGCCTACTGTTCACAAGCCGTAATCGAAGGCCGCGCTTTGTTCCCCGCACTAAGATCGCCCAGCCAAGGATTTCCTGCAACAGCTCCAACGGCAAATCTAGCAGATGCATGGTGTATAGAGTGGTCGGCTTTATAAACAGAATGGCTGTTCGGGAGGAGGAGAAGATTTAAGAAGCACGTAAAGCGTTCAGCGGCTCTTCTTCGTCGAACACGTTCGGGCCCGAAAATCGCGCTAAGGAGGACGTCGGGAACCACTTGATTGGCTACCGGTAGTGGCGTAAGCTGTTGCCTGCAATCGCCTTTCCAACCTGGACAACAACCATGTCGTAGGTGGTTATACAATTACACGCATTCCATTACCTGCTCGCATCCTGCCGAGACCCAGCAAATTTCAGCGCACAGTTTCAGAGCCAAGATGTGGCACAGCTCCAAAGACGGCCTGTTGACCAACGATATACGCCTCTTCACAGCTCAGATCTCCGCGCACACACGGCACAAACACCTTCGCAAATCAGATGGCACGGATCGAAGAATCATGCAGGGGAAATCAATGCGTTGTGCCGTCTATTGGCACGTCAGCATTGAACATATAAAGCCTGCTGCTGCCGACGCGTTGTGATTGAAGTGTCTAGCCTTGACAGATACTCCTCGCTTGAGGGCTCATAATCCTCACGTCGGTTCAGCTCCTATATCATTACTGTCGTCTACAAATTCCTGTCATGGCAGGTATTGATGATGTTCGCTACACGATATCGACAACCAAACTCGAGGGCCTTCCGACGAGCGGTTGGGATACGACAAGCCCTTGGGGCCCACTTACGACTCCATGGACTCTCCCATCTACATGTTCCACCAGCTGGGCGTTACGAGGCTCTGGCTCTGGTGAATACCTTACACCTATCGTGCCTGCAGCCTGTTTGCCTGGTGCATCGAATATACACAGCCCCGGTACATGCTATGGCAGCTACCATATCGTGGCGATGATCGAATGGAGAACACCAGATTGGACGTCGGGGGGTAGTCGCGTGTTTGGCGTCGCTTGTTGTGAAAAGTAGGTACACATGCTGAGCCACAGCGGGTCTCTTCATTATGAGTTGTCTCGTGCTGACACAGAGATTAGTGGCTTCACCAACACATTGACTGATGGTGCCCGGTGCTGGTCAACGTTCTCCACACCTATGACTGCGTACCCCGTCGGATGGGTACAGTCCAGGAGCCAGGACGTGACCCAAACAGACAATGCCACAGTCCTCGATAGCGGGTCCGCATCCATGTCGCTCATGGAAGCCTACTGGCAGGAATCAGATCTTCCGAACTTTGATCCGGACTATGCGGCTATACTGGCATCGAAATTCAGTATTGATTTCACACCAACAGGCACAGGCACAGCCGATGGCACAGCCGAAACAGCGTCGCCACCAGGTCGAAGTCAACTCAACTCAGCCACGTCGACCGTCGAGACCGACTCTGGAGAAGCTACCGGTCTCAATAGCGGCGCTAAGGCAGGCATCGGCGTCGGGGTAGCCTTTGGAGTGGTTCTACTTTGCGCTGCTGGTTTCTTTCTTTACCGGAGACGCGTTCAGAAGGTGAAGCTCGATGGCAAGTCTGCTTTACAGAACGAACAACCTGAGTTAGTTCATACATGCACCGCGTAGTTGGCAGTGTTGTACGTCGTGCGGTAGTTTGCCACCTAAATTAAGGAGACAGCTCTAGCCAGTACACTGGATCCTTGCGACTACGGGACGAGATGCGGCACAGGCCCAGGCAACGCCCAACAGCCAATGATTCAATAACTCCCACGGGCCACCCCAAGCTCTGCCTCATGCGCATATACGGCGTAGTTGTCTCTGCGAATTACACGTCGAGGATCGAATCACCATGCAGGAGACCATATTGCATTTTGTTGCGGATTGGCAACGGCAGCCCGGACGCCACCAATGCGCTGCAATTGAAGTACCCGGCCCTCGCAGATAGTATAGCTCCTCTGTGATTCCGTCTCGAATCTATATCAACTACTCTCGACTTTCCCTGGAAACACAAGGTCTGACAGTCGTGATCATGGCAGGCCTCGCTGATGCTGGCCTCACAATCTACACTGTACGATCAGGCGGATTCTTTCCAACAAATGATGAGCGCAACCATTACTCGCCAATTCCGACTTCTTTCACGTTTGCGTCGACATGTACCGATCAGTGGATTATCCAGGATCCGTTGACCCCCACAGTCCTCACAAACCCCGTCCCTACATCATGCCTACCTCACAGCACCCAGGCCTACAATAGCCCAGGCACATGTATCAGCAATTACCATATGGTTGCACTGGCCGAGTACAGAACCACAGGTTGGACGTCAGGGGGCTCACGCGCATGGGGTGCTGTTTGTTGTAGGGAGTACGTCCACGGATCCAGCTATCACAGAGCTACTCCTGCTACATAAAAGCCCAGACACCCAAGCTGACGAAGACGATAGCGGCATGTTGGCGTCAGACGCGACAGCGAGCGCTTGCAGTTCCAGCTTCAGCACACCCGTCACCGCGCTATATCCTTCCAATGGGTACCCCGCCCTCATCAGCGATCCAGCTGGGACAGAGCCAAGAGAGATAAGTGAGGGAGTTCAGTTAATGACCCCAATGATCGTCTACTGGCAAGAAACGGATCTTTCACATTTCGATCCTGGATATGCGGCGACACTAGCTGCAAGACTAGACATCGACTTCACGCCGACAGCCACGTCCGAAATGGTGCCCCCGTCAGATCAGAGTCAATCCACCTCAGCTACTTCTTCGGCGGACAATGGTGGCGAAAGGTCATCCAAACCGGATCTCAGTATCGGTGCAAAGGCAGGCATAGGCGTGGGCGTCGCTATCGCGGCTGTTCTGATGGTTGTCGCCGGCCTCGTACTGTACAGGAGATACGTTCGCAAGAAGGCGACGCTTGGCCCTAAATCTGCTTTAGAAAACGAACAACCTGAACTCGTTCAGACACGCGCTGCATAGCTCCACCTTGCCGACGGCGACCTCTATATTCCCACATCGAGATAATGCAGTTGGGACTCGACGAGTTTAACTGATAAGGGATGCGATCTCGTTAGTCTGTGCCCATGCGATACTCTACAAATCATTGGTTCTTTTCACAGCATTGCCAGGGGTGGTGATGGACGTTCGCTCTGCTTTCAAAGTCTATCAAGAGCAGGAATATCGCGATAGCCACCTGTCCCTTCTCATTGCACCCACTGCTTCTGTTTAGTCACAAAGGCTAGTCCGTGTTCGACGTCCCTTCAGCTTGTTGGTCGGTTCCCATCGACACTCTACTGTTCTATCCTGTAGCGCTGGGAGCTATTGTATATATAGTCTGGGTTGCATTTCTTTCTGCCCTTCGGTACAGTTCTTTGTCTCCCATTTGTCCGCTGCCAAATGCGGCGGAACTGGGCAGGAGGCTGCGGGAACGTCATGCGGCACAGTTCTGGTCACAACACAACGACCAATGGCAGGCACTTACCGCCACTTATGTTCCTTGCGCGTTCAAGACACAGCTATTCCCGCAGATTAAGTTGTATGCAAGGGCCAAAAGCGCGGTTTGTGACGCGTTAGTACACCGGTATCGGTTAGAGAGATCGCCATCACCGACGCGTTGTGATCTCAATGGAGGTTCTCTACAAAGGCTGCTGAACTAGAGTGATATAACAAACTCGATCTCATATTAACTTCATCCTCACCCCAACCGTAAGCTGTGCATCATGGCGGGCCTTTTGACTGCTCGCCTTACTATCAAAACGGTATCACCAGGACAATTCTTTCCGACGACATCTTCGAACGCTATAGTCCCTTGGCCACCACTCACGACTCCCTTTACGACTCCATCTCATTGCACCAATGAATGGACAATCCTTACCTCGGGTGACACGACTGTCGGGAATGTGCCACCCAGCAACTGTTTACCTGGCGGAAGCTATACGCACAGTCCGGGTACAGTGCTCAGTGACTACCACATCGTTGACGTAGCTGAGTATAGAACACCGGGGTGGACAGCAGGCGGACTTCGCGCATGGGGTGCCGCCTGTTGTAAAAAGTACGTCGTACCATGAACCTAGGGCACGGCTATATACAAAAGAGTCATGACTTGAGCAAAGCGCACTTTTGCTAACACCGATGGCAGTGGTTGGACGAATACAGAAACCATCGAGGGCTCCTTTTACTGCTTTTCATCGTTCATCACACCCATCACCGCATTGGACCCCTGGGCCGGAACTGGCCGTGAGCATAGAACCACCACTACCATACTCAGCCGGGGAGAAATAGTAGATAGGAACATGCTTATCTACTGGATGGAGTCTGACTTGTCCAACTTCGATGCCGAGTACGCGGCGACCTTGGAAGAGAGGTTTGCCATCGGCATGAGCGCAGAACCCGCAACTGTTCCTGCAGAAATCACGTCATCTGATTCATCTTTTACGTCAACTGCAACAATGGCCGTTACGAAAGACACGGCAGCAGCGTCAGCTAGAGCCCAATTCACCTCGGTAACATTAACATCGTCGTCATCATCGGTGGCACCAAACTCCAAAGAAAAGGCTGATAATTCCGATTTTGGGCTCAACGCTCGCGCTAAGGCTGGCATAGGCTTAGGAATTGCCATGGCGGTAATCCTGATGGGTATTGCTGGATTTGTTATGTACAGGAAAAAAATCCAGAAGCAACGGGCCCTTGATCAAAAGTTCGCTAAACAAAATGAGCAGCCAGAGTGGGTGCAAAAGCAGAGGGCTTAGCCGACAGAATGGATGAGGTACGCTCCCTCTACTGGGAAGCCTTCGGATTTACGATTTGCTATAGGCCGATTGTGTTAGAGATGCTTAGAAGAAAGAGGATGAAAGATTGGTGCTGAGTCCATGTGCACCCCGTACAGGAAAAGGCTCAATAGGCCTGCAGACTACATCAAGATGGAATGATGCAGATTGTGTGACCTAACGTTGATATAGGCTTCCTAGGGTCTTTAGGTTTATCCTGGGGTGATGTGCATAGGTAGAGGAGGCCGGTATAATAATAGTAGGCATTCTCTCTACGACGCGTACGCAATACATTTGCCTAAAGCTTAGTTATATTTAAAGTATAGTAGTTATATAAGTAAATATCTATTAGTAAAAATATATTTTAGTAAACTTTATCTTTAGATACTTAGCTATATTTACTTATATTTAAAAAAAAACTTAATTACTAGCTACTTATAACTTTTTATTTTACTTAATACTACTTTAAAATATACTACTATAAGCTACTTTTATACTATACTATACTAGTAAATTTAATAGTTTTTTACTTAAGTATATAAAAAAAAATAAGTAAAAAAAAATTAATACTAGCTATTTACTTTTTAAAAATTTTCTATATTAAATAAAATAATATACTTTTTTTACTTAGATATATTTACTAATAAATTAAAGCTACTTTTATTTTAACTATAAGTACTATTACTTTAATTTTAACTATAATAAAACTTTTTTTTACTAACTTATATATATAAAAATAAAAACTAGTACTTTATACCTAATTTTATAAACTCTATTTAATAAAAAAATATTAAAAAATGCTTAGCTATTAGTTTTAGAACTACTAGTAGATTTTAATAAACTTAAAGTATATTACTATTAGTACTAAGGCTTTTAACTAATACTACTTTTATTTATATAACTTTTAGAAGCTTAGATAGTAATTAAGAACTATATAATATAGTAGTAACATAAATACTATAATAGCTTTATAGTATATATTCTTTTACTAGCTAATAACTATAATATAATAACTATTTTTTTATAGTTTAAGTATTAACAGAACTTATAGTAGTTTATTATATTTACTATTTAGTAAATAGTATTTTACTATATAAAATAAGCTATAAATACTATATTTTTATTATTTTAGCTTTTATTACTTTTATAAAGTATTCTAGCTAAGGCGTTTCTTTACTAAAGTATAGTATTCTTAAAAGCTAGAAAAAGCTATAAACTTAATATTAATCTTACTTTATATATTTAGTTATAGATATAAATAGTATAGGTAATTAAGTATATTTTAGTAAAATTATAAATAGAATACTCTTTTTATTACTTTAAAGATAAGCTATATTTACTAAAAAGCTTATATATTTTACTAATAAGCTTTTTAAAAGTAAGACTAAAAAAAAAAATAAAAAGTTTTACGCTAGTTATATATATAATAAAAATAATAAAAATAAAAGTAAAAAAAATAAGTATAATAGAAATAAGTATAATAAAAATAGATATAATAAAAATATTAATAAGCTTAGTATATAGCTCTAAAGTACTAGTAAAGTAGCTCTTTAAAGCGCTTATAATAGCTTTTAGTATAGTATAAATAAAATAGTTTATAATAGTCTATATAATAGCTTCTAAAATAATAACTTTAAGAAAACTTATAAAGTAGTATATTTAAAAGAAAAGTAATTAATTAATAATAAAGAGGCTTAATTAAGCTTTAGTATAGTAGTAAGATAATATAACTAGTAATAAGATTAGCTTTAAACTTACTAACGCTAGAAGAACTTATAAAAGAGGTATAAGTAAAGATATAGTTAGAGCTTATTTAGTATATATATTAGTATAGCTTTAGTATTAGATTTAAGCTACTATTTATATTTTTAATAAGTTTTTAAATTTCTAATTTATTATAAGTAGTAAGATAAAAATAAAAAGTATATATATAGTAGAAGTATAATTTTACTTACTAAAAAATTTAGTATTTTATTACTTTATAATTTATAACTTTATTAGTTATAAGCTATTAAAAATATATAATTATATTATAATTTTCTTTACTATAAATAGATATTAGTATTTATAAAATAGTTACTTTACTACTTTAAATTTTAAAAGCTTTAACTACGCTAAAGATAATAGTACTAAGAACTTAAGCCTTAGTTTACTTAACGCCTATACCTTTAAATATAAAATTTTAACTTTTTTAGAAATACGTTTTTTTATATACTAGTAATAGATCTTACTTTTTTTAAACTAGTTTATACTATAGAATTAGTTTACTAATAAAAATAAAAATAAAAACTATAACTTTATTTATACTATTACTTACTTTAAGTAATACTAGTTCTAAAGAGTTAGTATTTTTTTTTTAGCTAGTATATAGTAAAGTATAAAGATAAAAAAAAATATAAAGTAGTATAAGTATATAGTAGTATACTTTTAATCTAAATAGGCTTATAAGCTTTATTTAATAATATTAAAGTTCTACTAAGAGCTCTATAACTCTTTACTAGTAGTTCTCTTTTTAATGTATTGCTTGCTAAAATTGTAGTGCACAGCAAGGATTGCGCTTTCCAGGCACGCAAGCGATACCGTATCCCGTAACATTGGCCAATGCCGCATGGAGTAGATCCCTGTGTGCTTTCCCGCCCTTTGCCAATCGCCGTCGACCTATTAGGGCCTAACAATATCGAACGCACAGTTCCTGGACAAAGACGTGGCACGTCCCTCAACGCCCTCAATCCTGCACACGTGTGGCACAGCTCCCTGCGCAAATCACATGCGGCTCATCGAGCCACCACGCATAGGGTAGCGGCGCGCTCTTTTACGCATCTGGAACGTCGCTACCGACCCGTTATGAGCAATGTATCCAGCCCTAGCAATTACTTGACGTGGGTTTATTACAATGTTTCTACGTCCGTCCGGGAACTGTTGTCCACAGAGTTGCTATCATGTCATCAAACATCGATGATGCTTCTCTTGCCATCTATACAGTGTCAGGAGACCAATATCCGCTAGTAAACACATTCAGTACTGTCCCGCCGCTCACCACTCCCTTCACTTTCAACCCGACATGTACCGAAGGCACGAAGTTTCAGGACCCGGGTCAACCCAGCCGTGTCCACAACTTCATTCCCCTCTACTGTCAACCCGATACCACCATGACGCATAGCCCGGGCTCATGTGTTAGGGGCTATCAGATAAAGCAGATAGTCGAGTTCCGAA